AGATTTCGTTAAAATCACCAATCAAAAACCAAGGATCATCCCGTGAGATACCGATTCTAGTTAACTTTTCCCATAAATAGTCTCTTTGTTTTGGGACTAGATTTCCATAAACAAAAGACATAAACATAGTTTTTCCTTCAATAGTGACTTGTGTATCAATTAAATTCTTGGAAGAAGTAATAATTGAAACATTAAAATTATTATTATAAAATAAGGCTAGACCGCCACTAGTGCCACATGGGTCAACCGTATACAAATGATCAAAACCAAAGTGAAATTGAAATTGTTGCAGAAAATTAAAATCTTGCTTAGTTTCAGAAAGAAATAAAAATTCCGGACGGAACTTCCACCAGACTTCCCGAAGATAGCTTATTGTAAAGCGATTGCCAAGACCTTGGCAGTTCCAGCTGAGTACTCGCATTAAACGGCTTTAAAATCTGTCCCGGATCCCACCGATGGATCTTTCTCCGGTTCTTTATCCCTTCCCGCCAATTTCTCTCCCGGGCGCTGTGTCTCTTTGGCCGACGTCTTTCTTCTAGGTGTTTTAGCGCCATGAATCATTCGCCGTAGAGGACCGCCGGCCACACCTACAGCTGCCCTAACCGCCTTCTTCCTCTGGACACCAGTTTTCCTCTCCCCCACCTTGCTCTTCCCCACTTCCTTGGCTTCCACTTCAACAAATTGTTCAACAGCAAGGAGGTTTCCCCCATTATCGCTGACCTCCATCTGCATATCGTTACTGCCTTGTGTCTCCATCGGATTCTCTTCCTCCTCCATAAGCTCCTCCCCTGCTTCCTCCTCCCCTGGTTCTTCCTCAATCACCTCATTCCACCAAGTTTCACCATCTTCTCCCTCCTCTTGAGCCAACGTTTCATCTACCGGCACGATATCATCTGCCACCCTTTCATTCGCCGCATGATTGGTGTTGCTTCCCGCCTCTTCATCACCTGCCACAACCGCATTGAAATCCAGGGCTTTCCGAACCTTCTTTGCCGAATGGTGGCTGGGGCTTGGGTCCTTCGTTGCTGTCACCATATTTGTTGCCGCCGGAGCCGCGATGAATTTCAACGCCGCAGTCGGTCTATTGATCCGCTTGCGCTGTTCCGGAGGGATGTATCCCACCGGTTTCCGCTGTGAGCCTGAGCTCTCCCCACCATGCTTTCCATTTCCTCGGAATGTGTTCTTCCCGGACCTCCTCCACCTTCCCCTTTCCCTTCGTATCTCCGCCATTGGGCTGTGACTTTCTCACATTCCCATTTTCCCCACCTGAGCCATTAATCACCACTCCCTTATAGCTCATAGCACCACCGTCTGGCTTCTCATCTCTTCTCCTCTGAGTCTCCCGTTCTTCTCTAGCTCTCCGAAGCGTCGGGCACTGGCTGACATCATGACAGAGGCTGAAGCACTCTCGGCAGTAACCAAAGAGCCGCTCGTACCTAAGGGCCACCAGAGTCTCCTCACCGCTGTGGAACTCCACCGTTGTCTCAAACGTGAGAGGTTTGTACCCGTCAAGACACACTTTCACCCTCCCACCATCGATATCCACCTCTAGCACTTCACCGAGAGCTTCACCAATACTCCGAAACGTGGGTTCCGCCCAAAAATGAAGCGGAATCCCCATCATCCTCACCCAGAACTTGATTGCAGATGGATATGATGGGTCCACCACCGGTTCCCACCTCACCAATGAGACCATCCAGTAGTCAAAGTGGAATGGCTCTAGCTTAAACACCTCAATGATATCCTCCTCATTGTCAAAGTCGAATTGGAACCGCCCCAATCCCAGCTCTGCGCCTGCGATTCTGTCTTCCATCTTCCAGAAGCGGGGCATGTGATGTAGCAGTGCTTGCACATCCTGAGCCGCTGGATTCATGCAGCGTCCAATCAGAGTACGAGAATAACCTCTGATCAAAGCCGTGTTGTCAAAACGCGGAACCGTAATCTTGAGACGAGGCACTGGTTTCTTCACCACCGATAAGGTTTCCTTGCGCCATCGTAAAACCTCTCGCAAACAAATGAAAACACAAAGTTGTGTTAACACAGAATATAGCACTAATGAGAAGAGGAACAAACAGTAACAAGCCAAAAGAGATTGTGCGAAGAAAAGATTGTGAACTTTCATCAAACTCTAGTGTGTTTTTATACTGCAAACCCCCATAAATTCTCCTTCCATTAAATTCCACTGAATCATCAATCAAATCCCTCACAATATCCCTCACAATATCCGCAAACTTCCGAAACAACTCTGAAAAAATATCCCGGAAATAAAAATTAATTCCGATTACCCGTAATGAACTCTGTAATAGAATCGCCGGATATCGCATCGCGTCATCTCGCCGATGTAGTTTCCAAATCTTGGGGAGATAATTAAACCGGACTTCCCTTTGCGTTGTTCCAATCACTTCTTCTTCCCCAAAATAACTCTCGTGAAATCTCCACCCTCTCTCTGTCGAATCCGATCTGTGGAGATTCGATTCACCATCCAAATTCTCCTCTCGACTCGAATCAGAGATAATCGATCTCGCCCTTTGGCTCGGATCCTGTTCCTCCAAAATCTCAGATCTCTCAAACTCATGAGATCTCCGAATAACCTCATAATATTCCGTAGATCGGATCAAATCTCCGTATAACACTCCGAAATCTTCTTCATAACACCGCCAAAAAACCGATAAAGGGAGCCGTATCCCGAAGACAGAATCCCCACCGCAAATCATTCGTAAATCTTGAAAATCGCCATCGACGAGATTGTCCTCTCTAACTAAACAAAAAACTATTGATTTTTGAATAAATTTTGCAGGCGAAAAAAGGAAATTCTTTGTTGACAAATTAAAAAAGAGAGAATTTTCTTCCTATAAAATTACTCTGTTTTAAGTTACATTTTTTGTTTTAAACTATATATAGATTTGTCATTACCGTTTTCTGTAATTCACTTGTTATTGTAGATAAAATGTATAACTCAAATTAGTGTTTCTTGATTTATTTCATATATATATATTAGAATAAACGAATGGATCTTACTTCATAAAATTTATTTGATATAATAGCAGCAATTGCCACAACCAAAGATAAAGATATGACTCATGTAAGAGGATCTTTAAAATATAATCCATTGTATTTGTGTATGCTGGGGTAACTGAATTTTGAAAAAACTATTTTGAGATTTTTATTAGAATTAGTGAACAATGGTGAAAGACTAAAGTTATGGGGGTTATTAAGAAAATTGAGATTAACATCCTATTTTTATTAATGTCGTATCTCACAGTAGAATGGTCTTTGTATTTTTCCTCCCTTGTTTTTTTTTTGTTAATTTATAATCTTGTGGGATGCTTGTTTTTAGAAGTGTGTCTTGTATAGTTATAATTGACACAAAACTCTAAAGCCTGTTAACGTTCATACCAAAAAACAAAAAAAAAACTGTAAAGCCTGCTTTTGTAAGACTTGTGCAACAAATTAACTCTAAAAATATGTTTTTGATATCCGTGTATTCTCGTTGAATCAAAGTCAGAATTATCAGAGTTGTGCTACTCAAAATAACCTTTAGATATATGTAACATTCTCCGACTTTAACGACTGAGTCCAAATTCGAAGAGCAAGTCTTTCACCTACAAACCAAATTGAGCAATAACTTTCCGAACGAAATTCATAACCCAAGAGCTTACCATATTCTTGCAATATGATATTGTATTGTGGTGACTAATCCAAGCTTGATGCAAGGTTGCATGATCCATTAACAAAACTTAATTTGTTTTCTCAATTCTATCAACTGAAAAATATGTAGCTTAGATGAGTGGATCTGAGAACAAAGTAGTGAAGAAATATTTTAGTTGTGATGTACATGTTTACTTTAACAATGTCAAATGCATGTAGTCTAGCACTCCATCATATTTCATCCGTCTTAAAATTTAAATTCTATAAAATAAAATGATAAAGAAAAAACCTAAATACTAAAATTATCTCGTTCTATAAAAAACCTAGAAGTATATGCAAAACGATGTAAATTAAAATACATTTAAAGTGATCAACTCTTGTATCCATGGAGGATAATGCCAGCTCTGGAGTTATTAAGCCTATATTGAAACATAGTTTCATCTTTAAAACTCTAGTGTAGTACTTAACGAATTTAATATAAACAAATAAATTTATTTGGTATTTTACATTAAGTTCATAAATGTAATGGATTTTTACAGTTTCTTGTTTTGTTGTTGCATGGAAATGTAAACGGAAACGCAGATATGAAACTTTTCCCGAAAGGAGAAACGTTTATTTTGAAAAATATAAAATTACCATTTTGGATAATTTTTCATTTATAAATTTTTGTGTATACAATAAAAAACAAAGACATGTTGGACATATATATTTATTCATATATATATTTTAATAATATAAATTCATTAGAATTTATGTTAATGGTTTATTATGGCAAACCTAATAGTTTTCACATATTTATATCCAACACATTCATATGTTAAATTCAGTTCATTACAAATGTCAATAGCTGTAATTAAAAAAAGTTAAATTTATATGGCAAATATAATATAGTTTTTTATTTATTTATATTTATATTATTTGTTACCACCACTTATACTTATTACAGAACAATAACATTTAAAATAAAGACAAAGCTTCGGTTTTCTATCCTTTCTCATACAATGATATGCACATTCGTGACAAAATCCAACAGGATCGTTAGAGGCTGAGGGTTTAAAATGTTCGTCTGGTGGAAGAATATCATTTCTCTGAATATTAATTGGAGGACTCGCTTCTAGAATAGAATTTGTTGCTTTCTCAACAAAATTAAATTTTGCCATAATATTAGATGCACCTATAAAATTTTCAAAAATGGAAAATGGTTCGCTAAATTAATATTTCCATAGAGAATAAAAAAACTTTCAACATATTATAATATTCAAAGAAAGAAAAAACTCACATGACAAAAGAAGAACTGAAAAGGTTAAATATAAAATACTTATTTTCATTTCCTTTTAAAAGGTTTAATAGTAATTAAGAAAAATAATTGTAATGATATTATTCTGACTAAATGTTCAAGCTTTTTGTTGTGAAGTTTATTAGAGTTTGATAATGTCATATTTATATGTGTTTCTACTTACGTTATACAATAAATAATGACCTAGTCAATGTTTTTATATGTTATAAAAACTGTTATAAAATTACTCTGTTTTAAGTTACATTTTTGTTTTAAACTATTTATAGATTTGTCATTACCGTTTTCAGTAATTCACTTGTTATTGTAGATGAAATGTACAACTCAAATTAGCTTTTCTTGATTTATTTCATAAATATATATATATTAGAATAAACTAATGGATCTTACTTCATAAAATTTATTTGATATAATAGCAGCAATTGCCACAACCAAAGGTAAAGATATGACTCATGTAAGAGGATCTTTAAAATATAATAATCCATTGTATTTGTGTATGGTGGGGTAACTGAATTTGAAAAAACTATTTTGAGATTTTTATTAGAATTAGTGAACAATGGTGAAAGACTAAGGTTATGGGGGTTATTAAGAAAATTGAGATTAACATCCTATTTTTATTAATGTCGTATCTCACAGTAGAATGGTCTTTGTATTTTTCCTCCCTTGTCTTTTTTTTTTGTTAATTTATAATCTTGTGGGATACTTGTTTTTAGAAGTGTGTCTTGTATAGTTATAATTGACACAAAACTCTAAAGCCTGTTAACGTTCATACCAAAAAACAAAAAAAAAACTGTAAAGCCTGCTTTTATAAGACCTGTGCAACAAATTAACTCTAAAAATATGTTTTTGATATTCGTATATTCTCGTTGAATCAAAGTCAGAATTATCAGAGTTGTGCTACTCAAAATAACCTTTAGATATATGTAACATTCTCCGACTTTAACGACTGAGTCCAAATTCGAAGAGCAAGTCTTTCACCTACAAACCAAATTGAGCAATAACTTTTCGAACAAAATTCATAACCCAAGAGCTTACCATATTCTTGCAATATGATATTTTATTGTGGTGAATAATCCAAGCTTGATGCAAGGTT